TTTTAGAGTGGATATATGACATTATAGAGGTAAGTAAATGAAGAGACAGACATCAGTGACCCTTGAAACATAAACTTAAGCTGTTAATTGATGTAGGCCTACTATTATTATCTATATCTCTTATATCTTGATTCCTGTCCTAGAGCTACTAAAGACTGATGTTTGATAGTAGAAGAGGAGAAGATTATCCTGACCATTTTTTAAATTGTGTACTTATTTTATTTATTATATTTTATTAGATAAAGCCTCAACATTTACACAGATAGGTATGAGTACGTTTTGATGTTTGTACATTACATGTTTACTGTATGTTGTGCTACTTAAGAAAATTGTGGTTTTAAAATAAATGTTTAACATTTACAACACAGAGGAAAATGTGAGCTCTTCTATTTTTTTTCCAAAAAAAAAAAAAAAACATCCCACAGACACTCCACCCTAAAAAAGAAAACAAGTTTCAGTTGTGTCACATCAGGTGTCACTATTGTTATTGTACTTTTGCACTGGTTTTTGTTTTTGTCTAAAGCCTAATCAAGAGTATTTAATTCAGGCTCCTATTTAATCAACTGGAACGCCACTATGCCAGGGCTGCGTTCAGCCCCGACAAAAACAGTGCAAAACGTTTTTTAAACGGAAACGGTGGTGCGTTGAACACCCTGTTCTGATGACGCAAGAGTTGCAACTATGGCAGCTGAGAAGGCCATTCTTTGTGTTCTTTTAGAAGAATTTTCGGAGCCTGATGAAATCGGTATAAATACTGCAAAATACGCTCAGTTGAGAATTTCAGAATTTCCCCTTGCAAGTAGATAAGACTTGGTAGCCTGTTAGATGTACGAAATAGCTGTTAAAATATTTAGCCCAGTAAACCCTCCCCTGCAGGCTCATGTTCATCTCCACTTTTGGGTGCAATGCCCACATTCAATGGTTTAGAATGTTGTAGGGATGCTTGGGACATGTCCCTACCAATATCCAGCAACTACTAAATCGTCCCTATAGTTTTGATCAAACAATTAAATATATGTATATGTAACCACTGTTGTTGTAGTTTCGGCTGAATCTGAAATAGGTCATACCATTGATATGCTAGAAAAGTACACCCTTGAAACCGAGCTTTTCGAAACTCTGAATCAGTTAAACCATTGCGTCACAAAATTATTCACTGTTTCAAAGTGCTCCAATTGGATCGCATGTTGTGAATCATTTGTTGCAGATCAAGATTTCAAAGCACATATCGTGAATCATTTGATTCAGATCGGGACTTCGGAGTGCGTATCATGAACCATTTTATTTACAGTAGATCAGAACTTTGTAGCGGGTTCGCAAATCTTTTGATTCATATTAAAACTTTGTAGTGTGTTCGTGAATCATTTTGCGAATTTAAAGATTTGTGATTGTGCTCCGAAGTCCCGATCTGAAATGATGGTTTACGAATCATTTGATTTAGATCAGAACTCGCAAATATTTTTGGATTCAGATCGGAACTTCGGAGCATGGATTGCAAATCATTTGATTTAGATTGGGATTTTGCAGTGTGCTTGTGAATCATGATTCATAGAACCAAGTCCCTGTATTACACTGTACACTTAGATGCTATTTGCCCTTTTAACCTCCCATTCTGATCCAGCCCAACCCGTAGGGTTCGAGGAAGCAGCAGTGTGTCATCAACATAGCAGACGGCACTGCGCCGGTCCAAAGGGTGTGCACATCAGAGACCCGCTCTCAAACCCCAGTGTCCACGTAGCTGCCAGTCAAGTCTGATGGAGATGATGATGGAGAACAGATCCCAGCCCATGCGAATGTCTCGGTCCGTGTGAACCCAACCTGCTTGTTTGGCAGGTCTTCCTTTGGAGAGTACTGTAAACCCAGATTAAATGGGTATTCCCACAGACTCAACGTTGAAAATCCCGTTCAGAGGCAGCTTGTGTTTCTATGATAAGAAGCATGAGGTAATCCTGTTTTCAGTTCTGAGCCACAAAAGGGGAGAAAAGAGCTTTTGAATGGTCTCCCGTCCCCCTTCTTGAATCTCTACAATGTCTTCTGTGACTCCTGTTTCTCATTCTCCCTGTTTTTGTGCCTCTCTCGAGGCAGTTTTAAGGTATTTTTTCTCTGCCCTTCTGTTTCTCTTCGCTCCTCGTCTTCCCCCTCCCTTGTTCCTTTTTTTTCAGGAGTCAGACGTGGTTCAGCCCGGCTCTGTTTACCCTCCCCTCCTCCATCTTCACCCCTCCCTTTCGCACAGAGCGGTGGGCTCCGGGATGGAGGGGGGTGGGTGGGTTGTGGGCAGGATGAAAAAATGGGCATCTCCAGTAAACCATGCTGACTGGATGTGTCCTCTGTGTGAAGATGACACACTTTAAATAACTAGTTCCATAAAACCAAAAACATTATGGTTATGATTAGGGCTTGATTCACCGTGTGGATTGCATCTTATACTGCTGTATTATGGCAAAATGAGGGAGTAAATGTGAGTGTGTGTGTGTGTGTGTGTGTGTGTGTGTGAAAGGCCAAAAGAAAGAGGATGTTAAGTATGACCACGTCAGTTTAAAATCTGAGAATCTTCCACCACACTGTCTCCAGTGATGATTACTGAAATCATGATGTCAGACTGTTGTTTATTATAATAAAACTATTTTGTTTTTCTGACATTTTGAGAGGGAAATTACTTAGATCCCCATAATTTTGCAAAAACATTTTTAGGTGGATTTTTTTTAGGAATTTTTATTTTATTATTATTTTTTACTTATTTATTTATTTTGTGTGTGTGTGTGTGTGTTACATGCTTATTCCATGGGGAGAATGTGTTAAGGATTGTTAATGATATTTGTTACAGTAAAAAAAAACTAGTGTTTACTTTGAAAAATTTTCACTTGGAAATTGCTTGTAAATTTCATAAATAATTACAAAGAAAAGGCAAGAAACACGTTGAATTACATTTATAGACAGTAGAAAAACTGAAGTAGTAATCTTTATTTACAAATTAAAAAAAAAAAGTTTGGTCCCCCAGTTTATATTAGGTGGCCTTAACCACTATATAATCATTTGATACAATACACTTATTATATAAAAAAAGCTTAAGAAAGAAATAGTGCAGTTACAGAGATATACATGGACATGGTTATGCATGAAAACCATTTATCCCTAAATGGCTACATTCCCAGTTTATGCTGAGCAGGATGATCATATTGGCAGTGGATTTGGAGTGGAATTAGAAAAAACCTATTACTGCAAGAGATTACAGAAAGTCAAGGCCAGTGGTGGGAAAGCTCCTATTTATGTAAATGTAGCTTGGTAAAGTTACAAGCTATTTATAATTCGGAGAAGCTAAGCCACAGTTGGACTGCAGTTTTGTTCATTGTCTAACCACTTACATTTGAACCCCCCCCCCCCATCTTGCCACTGCATTCGTAGGTATATGTCATGATGAACATGTACATGGATATAATATATAAATATAACTACACGTTGAACAAAGAATACATAGAAGTCATCTGTGCATGATATAGTTTGTGCTATATTGTAGAAATAGGCTACATGACTGTGTACTGTGCTACATATTAGTATGCACTAGTTTTTTAGCATACGTAGCATATAGCATTTGTATGTACAGTATATACTGAACCTACTTTGCATGTACTTCTGAAAGTTATCTGGTACAATCACAGTGATGATCTCTTTTGTGGTTTTCAAACTTTTTGACTTGAAGACAACCCACTGTCCGACACAATATTTGAAGGGCCTACATTTTTGCTAAAGGTGGTCACATTTACCATTGTTCTGCCCATTTTCATGGTTTGAAATTGACTTCTGTGTGAGATGTGTTTCATACTACACTATTGACACTGGACCTTTTTAACCTTTTTTAAGTTAACTGATTTTCACCAGCTTTGTATTATATTACATTGTTGGCAGTATAAGTTAATTTTTCCATTTTACCTGCACCAAGATATACCCATTTATTTGTCAACAGAAGTCATCGGATGATGATATTGTGAAAACTACAGATCATACTTCCGCATTTTTGTATACCCACTCATGGATAATCTGCTCAAGTCCAGTGCATTATGGGTGTTGAAGTTTTCCTACCATTTTTTGGCCACCGCCCTTTTCCCCTGTTTTCTCTGGTTATGTAATAGATTTTAAAAATCGTGTTTCTACTTCATAGAAAGTCAACTTTTATTAAAACTTTTATTAATCTAATTAATTTAAATTAATTAAATTAAATAAGTCTAGGTCATCTTGCATCACTCTTGCTTGTTTGCTGAGGCCTTATGCCGTATATGCCCTATTATATTTAGTATATTCAATAACACTATGATATGAGTATTTAACTATTTATTTCACAAAGATACCTTTTTTTTAATCTTTTTTGTGACTGGGTGAATTTGGTTTTGAATGTGTGAACCAATTATCTAGAATTAATCAGACATACACTCAGTGTTCCTTAATGCAACTATGTCAATGGTGTGTTTTTAATCACAAACTTGTTGAATAAAACAGCCACAGGCCTTGTTTCCAGCCCTATTCCACGACACCTGTGTGCCTCAGATGGGATGGTGGTGATGCTCTTGGCCTAGAGGGCTCATTTATCACGTCTGAATTACAGCGGATCACCAGTCTTGCTGATTCCTGCAGTCCCGTCCATTTTAGGGCATAATATTATCTTTCTGCCTGAGTTCTCCTCTGATAGCAGCCAGGAGGGAGCAGATAGTATCTGGCCATGTCCCGTTCAGGGCACGGGGGGCAGAATCCCTCCTGGCACAAGAGTTTGCCGGGGATGTGGCCAGTTGACATGGAGGCTTCGCTCAGAACCATTCTAACTTAGCCAGGCAAATATTTTTCCAGGCTTGTGAGCAGAGGGGCATTAACACTATTCAGAGCCCGGTGTTTGAGACTGTATGATCTAAGAGAGAGTGAAGGGTGATTAAATAGCCTTTTGTTTGAATGAGCCAGAGGGGAAGAGGGCAGCAAAAAAACACTTTAGCTCATAACTGGAGACGGATCAGCGGGTAGCTGGGTAGGTAGCTGACATAAGGTTTATGGATGGGCCATAAATACAGGCCCACAGCAGAACATGCAGCAGATCCGCTGTCAACTCCAGCCGCTTCGCTGAGATACAATGGAAATTTCTATCCAACATCCCTGGTACCGCCGGCCCTGGTTCCCAGGCTACTTCCCTTATCGAATTTATGACCAGTATTTCGGAGAGCACCTACCCGACAGTGACCTTTTTTCACCTTTCTACATGTTTTACTATCGACCTTATTTCTGGCGTTTTCCAAACTGGTGGGACAGTGGCATGTCAGAGGTGAGTTCAGTTTCTTATGCTGATACAATCTAGTATGAGATGCAATTTGTTAACGTTAGGTAGAGCATGCAAAAAACAATAAACTATTTTAACAGCACTTTTTAATTATTTGAATTCATCATTGTTAATTCATGGTAGTTAATAATATTATTCAACTATTTTTAAAAAATGTATCAGTATACACTACCATTCAAAAATTGGTAAGTACGATTTTTAAAAAGAAATTCATATTTTTATCCAGCAAGGATGCATTAAATTGACCAAAAGTGACAATAAAGACATTTATAATGTTACAAACGATTTCTGTTTCAAATAAATGCTGTTCATCAATCAATCCTGAGAAGAAAAAAAATCTGTTTCAACAAAAATATTAAGCAGCACAAATGTTTTCAACATTGATAATAATAATAATAAATGTTGAGCAGCAAATTAGCATATTAGAATGATTTCTGAAGGAAATCACAATGGCTGGTGAAAATTCGGCTTTGCCATCACAGGAATAAATGACATTTTGCAATATATTAAAAACATGTAAAATTATACAAATATTTCACAACATTACTGTTCTACTGTATTTTTGATAATTAGCCTTGATGAGCATAAGAGCCTCTTTTAAAAACATTGAAAAGTCTTAACTCCAAATAAGCCAGTCACAATATTAGAAACTATGTATGTTTTCAGAGATTTTGCATATTAAGTTTGCATATTCTCCCGCACAGATGAGAATGGATAGAGATCGGTTTGTAATCAACCTGGATGTGAAGCACTTCTCTCCAGACGAACTGATGGTCAAGATCAATGATGATTTTATTGAGATTTATGGGAAACATGACGAACGGCAGGTAACAAAACACAAACTCACCTTCATTTTATTCACCATTTTGAACTTAATAGTGTTTTTTGTAATATTATGTTATAAAAACAAGGTTGGAAATCAAATATTCAAGATTGGGGAGGCAAAAGATAACATTGAAGTAGAATGCAGCTTGTTTTCAATTCATGAGTTTCAGTTTAACTGAATTGCCATGCCCAAAAAAACTATCAAGATTTTCGAACTTTGTTTTAATTTGACATCATTCATTTTTCTTGTTAAAAGTTTCATTTTATGTAAACTCTGCGTTTTAAATTCTAATTTCAATTCTAGTTTGTTTTCCACCTCAGTTCAATACAATTCAAATTCAAGAAAACATTCTCAACTGAATTCTAAATGGTGCATAACCCTGATGGCCATTATTGTGTTACTGATACACCTCAGTTCGAAGCAACAGTATCTGTCTCTGTTACAGGATGAGCATGGTGCTGTGGCAAGAGAGTTTTACAGGAAGTGCAAGATCCCCGCTGGTGTAGATCCAGGTGCCATCACCGCTTCTCTGTCCTCTGATGGTGTGCTGACCATCTGCACACCACGCCACATGCTGGACATCCCTGAACGCAACATCTCCATCACCTGTGGAGAGAAGCCACCAGCGCAGAAGTAAACATGTTGACAGCTGCACCTCTGCCAATCATCTCCAAACAAAACCCACCACTGAGAGAATCATCTACTGTATTAAGACCATGTGCATTCATGTAACACAGTAATATAACCAGAAATACACCTGTCCATTGTGAACAATACAATATCATGCAAAATGCGCAGTAAGTCAGTGCTTTAGGTCAGTGAATGCAGGTTGTCATTGGAGCTGGGTTTGGTTTGTTATATTTATGGCCTACATTTGGACGTTGCATGTAATTATGTGGTTGACTTGGGTTATGATTGTAACTTCGGCTTTGAGAGCAAGCAGTATTGACGTGGGATGTTGTGCAGCACTGGCCTCTGCTTTTGAAGTTAATAAATCCCCAGGTCAAAATAAATAAAAATAAATGCTGGAATAATGAACTCATCTGTGATTTTTCAGCATATGTTGTTCATCTGAATGTAAAGTATGCCGCACTTGTATATGGGGTCTAAACCAACAGACCAAGTTAAATATGTGTTTTGCTGATGTTGTTGCGCTTAATGGACAGTAATAAAGATGACCTTGTAAACTTATATATGTGATGCTTGTAGACATTGATTCTGTGACAGTAAGACAAATTGTCTCAGTCAGTGGTGTAAAAAGACACCATGGATCATCACGTTGTTGGTTGTCACATGTGGAAGGAAAAAAAATATACATTTGGATTGCTGATGGCAGGGGTGTAGTTATTGAAATAATTCATTCCAGTCTTTCCCAATATGCTTTTAATATTTTATTTTCCATACCTCTTAAAGTGACATGTTACAACTAACAAGTAAGCGTGACTGTTGCAGTAGCTGCTTTCAGCATTAAAAACAAAATCTAAAAATAAATGGTTGTTTCCACTTCTTCATTACCCTCTCAGGGAAGAACATCTGGTCTTCTGTGGCCGTCAGATTATTTGTAGCAGTTGCAATATAAACCACATCCATTTAGCCTTTCAATAGAACGTTAAAACTCAAAAGATAAATATTTTGATTTAAGATTTTAAACCCTTTATATTTAAAGTCTTATTTTTTTTTTAATGGTTTAAAAATATGTATCAAATTGTATCAAAATACCTCTTTTTACTTTTCTTTGTTTAACTTAAAAAATCAAAAAACATTCTAAATAAATAAATTCTTCTTTCTCTAGCAGAGAATCTACACTCTAAAAAAATGCTGGATTAAATATAACTCAGCGCTGGGTTAAAAAGGGACAAACCCAGCTATTGGGTTGTTTTGACCCAGCGGTTGGGTTGCTTTGACCCAGCGGTTGGGTTGTTTTGACCCAGCGGTTGGGTTGCTTTGACCCAGCTATTGGGTTGTTTTGACCCAGCGGTTGGGTTGCTTTGACCCAGCGGTTGGGTTGTTTTGACCCAGCGGTTGGGTTGCTTTGACCCAGCGAAGTGTATTGTTCGCACGCGCAGTAGCTGTTCTCGGCCGGTAGATGTCGCCGTCTCTCCTGCATCAGCTCTCTTCTGTTTCTGACACGGCGCAACTTGTTCCGGTTGGACTCTGAAGACGTGGCTCTGTTTCTTCAATATTACGACTCAAGCTATATGCTACTGTTAAAACAGAGCATAAGTCACCTCTCTGACATTTTGTGTTGTAGAAACAGCTGGACAGACAGTGTCCGTGACTGAGTCCACTGACGGATCCTCGTCTGAAACGGATCAGAAATGGTATGATTGTTTGTTTTGTGTGTTTAGCAGGATGGAGCTAGCAGCTAGCGTTATAGCTCATAACTCCTACTGTGTAAAACTCTTTTCATTTCTAGTGTCAGTTACTATACAGTGTCTATCCCATCTGGTTTTGTTATAAAATAACATTATAAAAGTAAACAAACGTTGTTAGATAGTCTTTGATATATGATACAGCTAGCCAGCTAAAGGCTAGCTAGCTAATTATATTGTGACTAGGATAATTACAGTTAAAGTAAGTAACGAATCATTGTCTATATGACAAAACGTTGATATAGTGCATTGCTTTTTATTTTGTCTTTTTTTTTAATATTGAATGCCTATACAGATAACAGGTTGTAGCTAACTGACTTTGACAATTCAGATGTTGACAGGAATATTAATGACCTGTAGATCATGAAGCCTGTATAGCTAAACATTTAATTCTGGTTTTATAAATAAATAAAAAATCCATTAGAACATAACATAGCATTTCTGTATAATATTATTTATGCAAATCTAAGTGATTTTTTTTGTCTTTGTTTTAGCCCATGTTTTTGCTAAAAACAAAACTTCATTCTCTTAGTATTTTTTTAATACTATTATATTATTTATATTTTGAGTTAATATTTATTTGAATATTTTCAGTTTTCATTTTAATTTTAGTTTAAGTTTTAGTAATTTAGTTTTGTAATTTTTCTTAAATATTTCTGTTTAGCTGAAATGTATTTAAATTTCAGTTTTATTAATTTTAGTAATGATTTTATTTCTTTTAAATGCCAAAACAACTTCTACAAAATAAACTTTTGATATTATTTTATTTCAGCTTTATTTTAAATTAACAACAAAAATAATAATAGTTTTAGTTAACAGTAACAATATATTATACTTTAATTTGCATTTATATTGCCTCATTGAGCTTAACTTACAAGTCCGAAATTTGCACACTTCGTCTTAAATGACCTTTTGATGGTCCATTTGTATTATTTTATTATTTGCACTAGTAATGTAACTTGATAGTCAGTTTTGAAATAATAGATAGATAGTCTTTAATTGTGCTTCATCTGATTAGGTTTTTAACGTCACTTAAATCTTTGCAGGTGCTCTTGGCAGCGGCGGTGTGCACTAAGGCAGGAAAAGCCATAGTGTCACGACAGTTCGTAGAGATGACGCGAACCCGTGTCGAGGGTCTTCTGGCTGCCTTTCCCAAACTGATGAATACAGGAAAGCAGCACACTTTTGTGGAAACGGAGAGTGTGCGCTATGTCTACCAGCCCCTGGAGAAACTCTACATGGTTCTGATCACTACAAAGAACAGCAACATTCTGGAGGACTTGGAGACACTAAGACTTTTCTCCCGAGTGGTAAAACTTACTTTTTTATTATTCCAATTATTGCCTTTCTTGGATGTGTCTTGAATTAAGTGATTGATTTCTGTGTTTCTTCCAGATCCCTGAATATTGCAGAGTGCTGGAGGAAAGCGAGATCTCAGAGCACTGTTTTGATATCATATTTGCATTTGATGAGATTGTAGCTCTGGGCTACCGGGAGAACGTTAACCTGGCACAGATTCGCACTTTTACTGAGATGGACTCGCATGAAGAGAAGGTCTTCAGGGCTGTCAGAGAGGTCCGATATTCTCTTAAGTTTAATGAAATATCCAGAGCTAAATTACTCTCTGCTTTAAGTTTGTATTGAACCAACTCTTAATTTTCTCAGTTTTTCTCAATTTTCCACTGTAACAGACCCAAGAAAGAGAAGCAAAGGCTGAGATGAAACGCAAGGCTAAAGAGCTGCAGCGAGCAAGACAAGATGCTGAACGTGCCGGAAAGAAATCGCCAGGCTTCGGAGGTTTTGGAAGTTCAGGAATGAGCAGCGTCACATCAGCCACCATCATCACTGATACAATAGAGCCAGAGAAGCCCAAAGTGACTCCTGCTTCTGTCAGGTATGAGCAGTAACTGTGGTCTATGATATATCTAAATACATAAGCATACAGAAGTTAATCTGCCCTGTTCTTCCTGTAGGCCAAGTGGGTCCAGTAAAGCACTGAAGCTGGGTGTCAAAGGAAAAGAGGTTGATAACTTTGTGGACAAACTAAAGTCAGAAGGAGAAAATATCATCATATCCAGTGCAGGAAGGAAGGCATCAGAGGCATCTAAAGTCCTTCAGCCTCCAGTGAATATAGAGAGGTATCACTTACTCATTTTATTTCAGTATCTGGCACATTTTACTCTCTATACTGTTACCTACACTACCAAAGTTACTTACACAGGGCTGCCAGTCATGCACAATCACAAAAGTACATTATTTGCATCTGCTTAAACATTTAATTCACAAGCTGTTCTGACATGCGGTTTTTCTGAACGCATACACCTGAAGCGCTCGCACAGAGCCTGTCAAACAGCACCTGATTACTGTTGTTTTTCGCGTCTGATTGATTTAGCATCTAATACTGTCAAAAACACAAAGGTTTACATTTAAACAGTTGGTTATGTCTAAAATGAAAGTAAAACAGGTGAGAGATAAACTGATGCGTGCAGCTCTTAAAGGGACTGTAGCTACTAAACATGCTGCTGCTTGTCATTAAAGGAATAGTTCACCCAAAAATTACATTTCTGTCATTATTTGCTCACTCACATTGTCCCAAACCTGTATTAATTTCTTTCTTGTGCTGATCACAAAATAAGATATTTTGAAGAATGTGGGTTACCAAACGGTCTTATTTTTTTAATAGACCCTTTTCACATTTCCGGGTTTCTCAGCAGCGGAAGTCATCATAGATCATGGGTAAATCTATAGTGGTGAATGGGAGACTAACACAAATGTTTTTTTTTTTTTTTTTTTTTTTTTTTTTTTTTGCATTCCCATTTGCTCAAATAGCAAAAGTAAAAACTCCACGATAATGTTTTCATGACTTTCAAAAAATAAAAAAAAGAGAGCGAGAGACTGATAATGATAGTCAGAAGAGAAAACGATTTCAAATTTACCATCTCTCCCATAGATGCAGTATTAGAAACACCCTTGCATTAGCGTTAATTCGTTTTTTGTAATTTGATGCAAAGGTAATATTATACAAAATATAGTGTTATAAATGTACATACATTAAAAAAAAATGAAAATTTGAAAGAAATGATGCTGATGACCGTTAAAACGCGTTATCACAGTTTTGTGAAAAGGGTCCATTACAAAGATAAAATAATGACAAGGATTTCTATCTTCACCCACTTTGGCCTAAATGTCTGCCATTCTTTTTTTTATTTTATGTTTTGTTGAGGTGTAGGAGGTGTTATGTTTCTGCACTCTTCCATTTTTAGCAAATTAAGAAAAATGTAGTATGTACATAACAGATTGTTTTGTTTAAAATAGGGCTGCACGATAAATCGCATTGCGATATTTAATGCGTGTCTTTTCAGTAAAGCCGTTCTGTATTCAGCGGTAAATCTCCATCACCTGCGGGCTTTCACGTTGAGCAGCATTAACTATACAGAGCCGCTGTTCACTGACAAGCTGCGCAAAATATGATCGTGGTTTTGCGCAGCTTGTCAGTGAACAATGGCTCTGTGTAGTAAATGCTTCTCCATGTGAAAGCCCGCACGTGATGGAGATTTATGGCTGATTACAGAACCGGCTTTACTGACAAAATGCGTGTTAAATATCACATGCGATTTATCGTGCAGCCCTATTTTAAAATAATTTTTGTGAT